AAATCAATTATGCTGGAATATACTAGGCAATCCCTCTAGCCAATGTGTTAAGTAGACTGAATAGGACAAAAATATGTGGGTATTCCCTGTTTCTGCGCTGTTGAAACAGAGCTTCAAAATAAAAGCTTGGAGCTATACAAACTGACAAGCATCCTGTGTACTAGGTTTATTCCCGCCAGATAGTTGAAATGGTTGAGAATGGAGGCTCAATGGAAAAACAATCCCAAAAGGTTTAACATGCAGCTAATGCATCCTAACTTTGAGGATTCAGAGTAGCATTCACCAAGAAAAACTGATTTATAGCTTCTTAGCAGAAATGTGAACTGAGGTTTTCTTTCAGAAATCCAACTTTAAGAGCAGTTGATTACAAACTGTTGATTATTTTTTTCTCCAGGAGAAGGTACATGAGCCATAACAAAACACATTTGACTTAAATAGTCCAGTCAGTTACTACATTTTATTTTAAATAATTAAAGATTAATTTGGATTCCAAAGAAAAATAAGGTAAGTCCTAAGCCAACACTTACCTAATGAAAGCAAGCAACTGAAACTCGGCAGCACTGAAAAGAATACCCAACAGAGACCAAATATAGCTTCAACATATATTCATGGTCTGTCTAGAAATGTCTTTGATGTTAAACCTCATATGGCACACTTAGCATTTTTTATAATTCATTTCCTATGGAGACTAATGAGCTTAAGGGTGAAATTACCTCATTGAAAGTCAAAATGGTGAAGTGTGAAGAAAAGAAGGATGACCTGAAAAGCAGATTTAGAAGCAATCTCTGCATATTAAGCATTGCTGTGGGAAATAGTATAATTAGTTTTCTTCAGAAGTTATTCCTTGGAATTGTGTAAGTGGTATTTCAGCTCCCAAGCATCATGCAGAAAGAATGTTAGATAAAATAGGCAGAAAAAATGCAAGATCCCCACACATCCTTTTTAAAAGCAAGAGATCCTTTCCTAACTTCCAGTAACACAGTGCCTGTCGGTCTATTTTTAGAGGGCAGGCTGTGCAAAACAAGGCCCCCTTCCAGCAGAAATTTCTAAGAGGCCATAAGAAACCAGATTTTCAGAGCATAATTTAGAATTGAGCATTCTCTTCTCACATGCCTAACTCCTTTTACTTGAATTAACTTCTTTCCCT